GCCACTGATGTATGAAGTCCAGAATGTGCTCTAGGTTAACCCAATGGTAACCAGTCAGGCTTAAGAAGTGAATCCAATCTTTTAAGTAAACTTACAATGGATGGGTAGGTGATCAACTAATTCTCCATCTTGCAAACATAATAAACAAACATGAGGAGAAATATAAAGTCTTCTCAAGCTCTTCTTCTGACGGAGATCACAGGTGTTTATTCTCTGTAGGCACACTCCCAAATAAAGAAACAAGCTCTTGAAGGAATGTGACTACACCAGATTTTCTTATAGGGGAAAGAGGAGCTCTTCTTGGGTCTCTTTGAAGTTCTTGGGGTTGGGAAAGTTTTTAGGAGTTTCAATGGAGGGGATGAAGGAAGAAACAATTAATTTTTTGGAGGGGGTTGAACAAGAATCCTTATGGAAAGACGGAAACTCGTGGCAAAGAAAGGAAGCACGAATTCGAAGAGGAGCAAAGAGATGATGAGGCTCACTTGGGGCCTAAATGATAAGGCAGATAGCAGTGAGGGGACGTCGAGGGGAGCAAAGAAACTCTAAGTTTAGAGGGTTGTTTCTGATCTGTTTTTGCAGTGTTTTTCATGGATTTAAAAATTTTATCTTAGAATGTAAGAGGATTGGACTCAGGTAGAAGAAGGTTAGTGGTGTGTGAGTCTCTGAAGAGGTCTAATTTGAAGATTGTCCTGATTCAAGAAACCAAACTGGAGTGGTTGGATGCTGCTACTGTTAGGAGTATTTGGGGGGAGGGTCAGGTTAGATGGAAATCAAAGTCGGCAGTGGGTAGTGCAAGGGGTTTGTTGAGTCTCTGGAACCCTTCTTTCTGCAGCTTAATTTCTTACCACATTGGGAATTTCTCAATTTCCTTAGTGCTGAAACTCTTTGATGGAAATATCTGCCAAGTCACAAATGTGTATGGTCCTACAGATGGGAATCTTCGGGATGACTTTTGGATGGAACTGGTAGAGGCAAGGGGCACACCAACTTATCCCTAGGTCATTGGAGGTGATTTTAATGTTACATTATTGGTTGAAGAAAAGAACACCAGAGGTAGGAGATCAAGAGCGATACTTCAGTTTGCTGATTTTATTGACAGATTTGAGCTGATAGACTTCCCTCTTCATGGTAGTAGATTTACTTGGACAAATAATCAAGACAATCCCACCCTGGTAAGATTGGATGGGTTCTTGGTCTCTTCAAATTGGGAGGAATTGTTTTCTGATTTTAGGAAGATTTCTCTCCCCAGGCCAGTCTCAGATCATGTTCCAATTCAGCTTGTTTGTGGTTACAGAGGAAAAATCAGATCTCCGTTCAAGTTTGAGAATGCCTGGTTTGAAGATGATAAGCTTATTCCCTTGTTGAAGTCTATTTGGACAGACCTTCAAGTGGAGGGCACTAGTTCCTTTATTTTGGCAAAAAAGGCTAGGTGCAGTTAAGGAGAGATTAAAAATCTGGAAGTTGGAGAATAACTAGAGTTCAGAAACAGAGAAGAGAGCATTATTCAGCATCATTGAGGAAATTGATTCAGTAGAAGAGGTAGGCCCCATATCAGAAGAATTGAGGTTGAAGAGAACCTAGGCAAAAATTAATTTTGATAAACTGACTGTTAGGGAAGAAATCAAGTGGAGGCAAAGAGATAAGGTGGTGTGATTGAAGGAGGGGGACAAAAACACTCACTGTTTTCATAAAATGGCAAATGCCAGAGCAAGATCTTCCTCTATCTGCAAGTTGGAGTGGGAAGGAAGTACGGGGGAATCAGACGCAGAAATGAAGGTGGTGGCAACTACTTTCTATAAAAATCTTTACAAAGAACTTTGGACCCTTAGACCTTTTCCCAAAAACCTTCCATTTAAGCGTTTGAGTGAAGATCAGAAATCTTTCCTTGAGAGACACTTCATGGAGGAGGAAATCAAGGCTGACATTTCCAAGTTGGCGGATGATAAATCCCCAGGGTCAGATGGTTTGACCAACCTTTTTATGTAAAATGCTGGGATATAGTGAAACAAGACCTGATGAATGTCTTCCAGGCGTTCCATGCAAATGCTTCTCTGCAAAGAAGCTTAAACACTACCTTTATCACTCTCATTCCAAAAATAGAAGGGGCTGTAAATGTCAAAGATTTCAGACCAATCAGTCTTTTGCACAGCTTTTATAAGATTTTTTTTTTTGGAAAAGGTAATGTAATATTTATTGAATCACAAACTTCACATACAAACTGAGATCAGTCCCAGCTTTTATAAGATTTTAGCTAAAGTTCTAGCCGAGAGAATGAAAAGGGGTGTTAGGAAGTGTAATTTCAAACAATCAAAGTGCTTTTGTCCCGGGGAGGCAGATGCTTGACTCTGTACGTATTACCAATGAACTGATTCATTCAAGAAGAAGAGAAGGAGTCCCTGATTTGATTTGTAAATTAGATATTGAAAAGGCCTATGACCATGTCAATTGGAGACGTATTGATGTTGTACTGCAGCATATGAATTTTGGACTGAAATGCAGGAATTGGATAAAAGTATGTATAACCTCCCCTAAATTCTCAGTTTTGATTAATGGTCAGTCAGCGGGGTTTTTTGACAGCTCAAGGGGCTTGAGACAGGGGGATCCCCTCTCCCCATTGCTATTTATTTTTGTTATGGAAATACTTGTCCCCTTTTGCAAGAAGGCAGCTGACTCTGGTTGTTGGGAAGGTTTTGCAATATCCCCTAAGGGGGAAAAGGTCAATATCCTTCAGTTTGCAGATGATACATTATGCTCTGTGGATGCCTCCCCTACTCAGTTGGACTTAGTCCTTGGGATCTTAACCTGGTTTGAAGTAGCTCCTGGGCTCAAAGTTAATTTGAATAAAAGTCAAATCATTCCAGTGGGGCAAGTTGCCAATTTAGAAGATTGTGCTGAGGTGTTGGCTTGTCAAATTGATTTCCTCCCTGTGAAATATTTGGGACTGCCCTTGGGGGCAAATTGGTCTTCTTCCTCCATGTTGGACCCAATCATTGAAAGAATGGAGAGAAATTTAGCTTCCTGGAAGGCAAGATACCTCTCTTTTGGGGGCAAGGTTACACTGATAAAAAGTACCCTCTCCAATCTGCCCACTTATTTCCTGTCTCTTTTCCCTATCCAAAACAAAGTAGCAAAAAGATTGGAGCAGCTTCAGAGAAACTTTCTTTGGAGGGGTTGGGAAGAGGAAAACAAAATCCACTTAGTCAAGTGGAACCAAGTGTGTCGTCCTAAGTTAGAAGGTGGCTTAGGAATAAGGAAATTAAAGAGTTTTAATTCAGCCCTTCTAAGTAAATGGATTTGGAGGTTTTCTTCTAGAAGGAATGCTTGGTGGAGATCTCTCATAGCTGGAAAATATGGGGTGGAGTGGGGCAACTGGAGATCTAGGGATCCTCCTCCAAGTTGGGGTAACTCCCTTTGGAAAGGTATCATGAAGATTTTTTCTACTTTCTTGGAAGGAATTTCAGTCAAGATTGGGAAAGGGGATAGAACTAAATTTTGGAAGGACCCTTGGTGTTTGGATGGCCCATTGGCTGATTCCTTTCCTCTCCTATTTCAGTGTGCTTCTAATCAAGATTCCTCAGTAGCGGAGAGTTATTGTTCTTCAGGAGACTCTTTTATTTGGACCCCCCTCTTTAGGAGGAATTTATTTGACTGGGAGTTGGAAGAGGTCTTGGAGCTGATGGATCTCCTTCAAAAGCAGAAGTTAGACCTTGGCTTGGAAGATAATTGGTGCTGGAAATGGAACCCTGATGGTTGTTTTTCTGTCAAATCTCTAGTTTCCAAACTATGCAGCTCGAGTCCCACAGACTTCCCTGCTACTCAGATCTGGAATCCTACAAGTCCATCTAGATCCAACTTTTTGGTGTGGACAATGGCCCTTGACAAATGCCTTTCCAGATCTAATCATGAGAGGCGTGGCATTCAAATATTGGATCTATCTTGTGGTCTTTGTGGTTCTCTCCCAGAATCTACAGATCCTCAGTTAAGATAGAATATAGAGCTATGTCTCATGATATGTTAGAGCTATTATGACTTAAATATCTCTTGGAGGAGTTCGGCATTGATTATGAGAAGCCAATGATGTTATATTCTCATAATCGAGCTACCACCAATATTACTCACAACCCCATTCAGCATGATCGAACAAAGCAATTGAGGTAGATAGGCATTTTATAAGAGAGAGAGGGTTGCATCAAGTGAAGTTTGTCTACTATTTATTGCTTCTTTAGAACAATTAGCAAATTTGCTTACCAAGGGTGTTCCATAGATTAAACTACAGCAGTGTCTAAGCAAGTTGATAATGATTGACATCTATACTCAGCTTGAAGGGGAGTGTAGAGATAGTGGGCCAAATGCTAAGAGCTACTCTTTTTTTGTCCCTTTTTATTTATGTTAATAGGCCTTTAGTGAATCTAATAAAAGATTAGAGAGGGAACTAGAGAACTGATCGAGTTCTTCTTCTCTTTAACCTTTTTTTTCTCATTCTCTCTTCTTCCTCTTGATCTGAACTTTCTTCCCACTATTTTTTCTCTTATCTCTTTTGATTAAACATCAACATTTAGTGCTGTGTTTCTTTCTTCTGTAGTCATCCATATAAGTTGTCTAACTATGCATGTGGCTAGCACATAATGCACAACCCGTACTCATGGAACGAAACAAACTTAAAAAAAATAAAAAAAAAAAGTCAAAATTTACACTAACATGGAATAAATGTTCTACCACTTATTGAAAATGAAAATCCTCTAAATTGCATAACAAGAAAATCCATGGTTAGGCATTCCGAGTTCTCATACCCCTGCTTCAACAACAAAATAGAGAAGCTAAATAACATATTTAAACCGAAGGAAAAAGCCTACAAAGTAGAAAAACCAATCAATCAAAACAGAATCCCATTTCCTAATTGCTAGAACCACTGCATGCAATAACCATGAAAAGGCATTCTTCACAATCTTAACTTGGGCAAAACAACTAAAACACTTACATGTATTATAAGAAGTAAGCCATTGAAACCTTCAGAGGAACTCACTCTGAGCATGGTATTCAATTGAAACATTGCAAGCATGTCCTTAACTATATCATACTGTTGTATTGAACTAACCAATTACTCAGAAACAAATTAGCATAGAAACTAGTGGGGCAGTCATGAACAAATATGTCAGAATCAGAGTGAAGAGAACTATTAAAAGCATGTTCTCACTCCCTGTAGGAAATGACAAGCATCCCAAATCTTCGTAGTAGTATGGTAGCGCAACTCACAACAAATCCAAGTACAATCTGTGTAGGCTGGAATTATTGGATACAATAAGAGTTGTTGAACGAATCACCTTAAAGGACTCACCACCCAACCAGTAATAGGATTCTGCCTGCGTATTCTGACAGTCTTATGTCCACCACTTTGCAAGCGCTCAAGGACAGCATATGTGATAGAATCTGGAGTTAGACCTTGTTGCTTTATTTTTGCATACAACTCCAATGCTTCAGCTGTCTTTCCACTCTTCTCAAGACAGTCAAGTAAGATATTATATGTCACTATGTTAGGACAACAACCTTCAGCAAGCATCTCATCAAACAGCCTCAAAGCCATTTCAACCTTACTCGTCTTTCCAAAGCACTCAATGAGTGTGCTATATGTTATAACATCAGGATTCAACCCCTTCTCTTGCATTTCCTTGAATCGCATGTGAGCTTCATCAAGGTCACCATTCTTCCCAAGATAATTAATCAAAGAATTGTAAGTGATAACATCAGGTTTACAAGTGCTATTCTCCATTTCCTCAAAAAGTCTAACTGCTTCATCAACTCTTCCAGCTCTACCAAAGCTGGAAATCATGATATTGTAGGTGAATATGTCTGGCGAAGGGCCATCTTTCTTCATCTTTTCATAAAGATCATGAATATGGGATATTTGTTTCAACTTTCCGAGAGCTGAGAATACAATGTTATACATGACAGTATCAATAATTATTCCTTTTTCATGAATCCTATCAAGCAAGTCCAAGGCCTCTACAGTTTTGCCTGCATTGCATAAGCTGTCTAACATCGACATATAAGCATCCCTATCCCCACTGTCCTCAAAGTTCCACATGTTGCAAAACAGCCTGTGGGCCTCATTGGCATGGCCTAATTTGTTTAGTGTCCTTACAAGATATGCATAAATTGACTTGTTCATGTATTTCTTTGATACTTGAACAATCTCATCTAGTCTACCAAGCTTCCCTTCCGCAGCCAGAACATTCAAAATAACACTATATGTAAACTCATTGGGCCGACAATTGCTCTCAACCATTTTATTGAATATAAAGATTGTTTTCTCCACCATCAGGTTCCTAGCTAGTGACTGGATGATAGTATTAAAGGCAATCAAGTTAGGGGTGCATCCCTTTTTAATCATCTCCTGGAAAAGAGAAAGGGACTCATCTGGTTTCCCACTCTTTCCCGTCATTCTTATCATAATTGTGTATGTATATTCATCAGGTTCACAATTCTTCCGCTTCATATCTGCAAAAACCTTGGAAGCCTGCTCAACCTGTCAAAACATTACAAGTCAGCTAATATCAAACTGACATCACTGACAGAGATCAAATCTAAGGTAGTCATCATCATCATCATCCATGCTTTATCCCAACTATATGGGATCAGCTACATGAATCCTGTTTTACCAATCCCTTTTATTTAAAGTCAAATCCTCTATTAAAATATTAGTGTTTAAATCATTTCTTACTTGTACCCATATCCTTTTTGGTCTACCCCTAGCTCTTCTAGCCCTTTCTACTTGTAACAAATCACTTCTTCTAACTGGAGCTGTTGGTGGTCTTCTATTCACATGAACAAACCATTTTAGTCTACTCTCTCTCATTTTAACACTTATTAGAACTACTCCTAGGTTTTTACCAATGGCTTCATTCCTGATCCTACCCTTTCTAGTTTTTCCACACATCCATCTTAGTATTCGTGTTTCTGCCACACTCATGTTCTAAACACGTTGTTTCTTGACTGCCCAACACTCTGCTCCATACAACATAGCTTGCCTTACAACTGTTTTATAGAAATTTTCTTTTAATATAAGTGGTATTCTCCTACCACAGAAAAGTCCAGATGAACCCTTCCATTTTGCACAACCTGCTCTAATTCTCCAGGTGACATCCTCTTCAATCTCTCCCTTGTTATGAATTATTGAACCAAGGTACTAGAAACAGTCATATTGAGTTATCTCTTGGTCTCCAATCCTAAGTGTATCCTGGTTTACGCTCCTATTATTACTAAATTTACATGTCATATACTCTGTTTTAGTCCTACTCATTTTAAAACCTTTTGTTTCTAAGGCATTTGCCCATAAGTTTATCAAATCTAAGGTAGTAAATCACATAAATTAAACATATAGCCAGTGGTCAGCATGCTATCAATTAAGAGTGATCAGTAAAGCAGAGTATTGGTTTCTGCATTATCAAATATGTCTCAACAAGATACCTGCCAAAATGCATCCATTTTTTATGCTTCCATATCAATAGCCCAAAGGACTTAGTTTTAAGTATAGTTTCCAACTTTCAGCAATAACCCATGTTTCATAATTCATACATACATTTGCACATAATTTTGAACTATTAATATAGACTTTATTACATAAAAAAAGTTCAGATAAGTGCTCGCTGCTTGGAATACAGCACTTCCAAATTTCAACGCTTCCTCAACTATTCAAGTATGTGAAAAAATTGTAGCACGTAAAATAAGCTACAGCCTTTCGCAAATAGTTCCAGAGCACCACCATTCAATTATAATTATATTCTATAAATACAACACGCTTGCACATAAGAAAGCTTCCTATATCGTCAAAGCTAAATGGAAATTAATAATAGTAAATGAAGCTAATAAACAATAACAATCAAACCTTTTCATCTTTGGCAAGAAAGTCCAGAAGCATATTATAGGCAAAAATGTCCAGGATATATCCACGCCTCCTCATTTCCACATAAACCTCAAACGCTCTTGCACATTGATTAGACCTCAAGTAAGCCTGAAGAAGACACTTGTACGTATAACAATTGAACCTCAAATCCCATTTCTTGACCAAGCCCAAGCACCTTTCCAATTCCCCAACCCCCTCAGTGCCGCTCCCAAAGATCCCAATCAAGATATTAACAGTGGAGATGCTACCTCTAACACCGGACCGTTCCATCTCATCGACAATTCTACGAACCATATCCAGTGCATCAGGTGCCGAAGATTTAGACAATATGGTGAGAATTCTATTGAAGGTAAAACAATCATGGCGGAAACCAGGAACAGAAGAAGCACAAAAGCGGAAGAAATCGAGGGCTTTTCGAGGGGTCCGGAGAGCTTTGAGGACTTCGCTGGCTTCCGAAGGGGTTAGACTTAGGCCCAAGGTCTGCAGGTAATCGGAGAGTTCAAGAAAAGGGTCGGAGGAAGGAGATTGGAGGATTTTGGAGATTCTGCAGATGAGGTCTCGACGGGGGAGGGCATAGCCCCTAACGTCTCTGAGGATGTTTGGGGTCTCCACCTCAATGGCAAACGCTCGGCCATTTTGGGCTTCGCCGACAACTCGGCCGCTGTATTTGGTGGCGAAACGGCGCTTGGAAATGCTGTAGACCAATTGTAGTTGCAAATGGTTATGGCGGTGGTGGTAGTATCTCATTCCGCTTCACGGTCCTTACTAACTTTGGCAGTTAGAAATAATTTCATTAGTTTAAATCTAAACTAACCCTACCGTTCACGAAATCGAAATACTGTACCTGTTTGAAGGTAACAAAACAAAGGAAAAGAGAGAAAACTTATACAAGATTTGTAAAGATTTCTTTTACCTTTCCTTCTTTTCTTTACTTTTTCCTTTGAATCAAACACAATCTTATTCTTTAGATATTGCCTTAGGCAATTCTTAAGTTTTATAATAATTGTTAAAATCCTCTCTTATCTTTAATTTTTCGTCACACTCTGTTCATATATATATATATATATATATATATATATATATATATATATATATTATTCTCTAATAAATATTTCATTTAGTGAAAGTTAAATTATAAACTTTCAATTATTCATTATTGTTAAACTAAAAGAATTATAAAAGCAATTACTATTTCAGAAATTAACTAAAATTCGTAATTATAACAAATTAATTACTTCATAATAAAATAATAATAATAATTTAATATTACTTATTTCAAAATCAATACACACATAATATGAATATAATATTAGTAAATAATAGCAATAATAATATACTTATTATTATTATTGATTTCATAATTATTAATCTATATTACTCAATAAAGACATGAAATAAAAAAAAATACTCAAATTACCATTAAATGAATGAGCTAAAAATCTATGAGTATTCTAATCGACTTGAATTTGACACATCAACATGCCCAAAATTATAATTCCAACCTACATTTCATATTTCTATCTCCCAATTCCCATAATTCAAACATACCATTAGGTTATGTACAAGTTTCCCTACCTTTTTCCTAAAGATTAATTATAGCCAATCTACATTTATGGTGGGGAGCTTAGACTTAAAATACATAATCATGATTGACCAAAAGAAGTATTGCCACATAACTTGGAGGTGACTTCCATACTAAGGATGGTCTCATTATTCTCCTTTTCTTTCATGTTTCTTCTGTTGGATAGGCTTTGGAGTTCTAGTTATATTATTAGCTGATTGTAGCCATACATGATAATGATTTGATTGTAGTCATATATTTGCCATCTCTTACTTCAAATGATAGACGCATCTACAAATGTTGTTTGGCATGGATTGTTTTTCTTAGACTTTGAATGATTTTCTTCCTTCTTTGCCTCTTTGAATGTATACCATTTAAATGCTTTTTATCCATTCATATGTCCCTAAATATTAAGTAGTATTGGTGATATTATTGTAAACATCTATCTAATTTTACTATTTTATAAATAGATTAATGATTTCAAAGTTATTGATACTTTTTTTGGGGGTGGATTGCTCAACAGGACATTGATTTTTTATTGTTAAATAGTAAATTTCAAATTAAATGATATTGTAGTTGCCCCTTACTTAATATGGGGTCATTGTCTAGATAAAACATGGTAAGTCTCTTAAATCAAATAAAGAGCCTACCCTAAATGTCTATTATAAATAATTAAAAAAATGAAATAATTCAAATTAAATCAAATAATTACTTGCTGAAGATTACTGGATTAAGTAAATAATAATAACAATCAATTATTTATAGAAATAAATAATAATAATAACATTCGTCAAGTACTTAATTAAGTAAATAATAAAAAATGAAACAGCAATCATCATTTATCATTAATGTTTATTCAAAGCATGCTCCATAATAATTACCGAATACAGTAATTAAACCTTAAATAGGAATTAATATTTATTAACAGTCATTCAAATTGTTAAGCCAAATCATTAATGTTTATTCTTAAATGCAAAATATGAATTAACAAATCTATTATATAATAATTATACTCGGTTGGAAAAAAACAATTTTAAGTAAATATTTAAATAATTACAAATTTAGTTATTATTATTACTATATAGAAAAATTTTAAATTAAATACTAAAATAAATTAATAATAATAAGAATGGTTAAATTAAAATAATAAATGGTTCAAGTTGAATTTAATGACCCATATAATTTTACGGGCTTAACATATAAGGGTCAATTTATATGAACTCATAGAATGCATGAATGTCTTAAAAATGGCAGTTTATAAATAATATTAATAAATGGTGATAAAAATAACACTAATTATATATTTATAAAATATTTAATATGAATTAATATTAATATAAAATTATTAACATTACTAAAATGCTTATTAATTATCATTAATTAATTAACATTCCAAAGTAATAATTACTATCATTAGTATTAGTAATAATTAATTATAATTATTGATAATAATAACAATAGTATAATTACATTAATTAATACAATATTATTAATTATAATTAATTATAATAAATATAATTAATTATTTTATATAAATGTATGAATTATAATTGCTGATAATAATTATAATATAAATATTAACATTAAATATTTATTTTCAAAATAATTAATATGAGTTAATATAAATATAAAATGATTATTTTCGAATTATTAATTACCATTATGAAAATATTTATTAATTATCATTTCAAATTAATAATGAGCAATATTGTCAATAATAAATTACTAGTAATTAAATATTAGGAGTAATTATTATAAGAAATTATTTTTGAAATAATAATGAGTAATATTATCACTAATTAATTATTATTAGCAATTAAGTAATAGCAATAATTATTATTATTATAAGAAATTATTATCAACGATTAATTATTATTAGTGAATAATAGTTTGAATTAATTAATTATAAGTAGTTAACGGTAAATAATTAGTGATTAATTAATTATGTAGTTAACAGTAATTATTATTATCAATCAATAACTGTAATTAATTAATTAGTTTAGTAATTAACAGTAATTAATATCACAATTTCCTTTTTCTTAGGAAAGGATTGAAAGTTGGAGCTTCCCATTTCTCACAACTTTGCATGGTGGTGGGCCCCACTCTATATGTTAGTGGGTTCTTTTCTTGAACTACCACTATTCAGAATTTGACACATGTCTAGTGGTCTGTGTTCTTGAATCATAATTTGACACGTGTCCATTTTGTTTAAATCTTTGGAATGACAAGTGTCTGAATGTAGACGGGCCACATGTCTGACTGTAGGGGGCTTTGGCACGAAGCACGGCCTGCCACGAGCCAGCACAGCACAGACCGCCCTTGGCCCGCCCGGGAATGTAGCCGTTGGACCCCCCTCCCAAAGGGAGTATTTCTATATTTTGTTTATGGGGGTTGAAAAATGACATAAATGTCCCCCAACAGCTATATAACAACTAATTTATGGGGCATTTTGGGTAAAGTTATAACTTTACAATGACCAAAATACCCCTGTCAACAACTAAATAACAAATAGTTTTTGTGTATTTTGGGCAATTGAATTATGTTCAATTCCTATAAATAGTCATATCCTCCACCATTCTCATCACACCAATTCAACAATTATCTTAATTCTCTCTCTCTCTCTCATACTCATACATTCTCAATTATCTGCAATCTGAGAAATTTTGATTAGTTGATTGTCTTATTCTGCATTCTCCAATTATCAAGTCTCAACTTTATTGAAGTTTTAACTTTTAACAAGAAAAAGGCTTGTTCAACAAGCTCAAGTATCTTAATTCGGGAGGCTTGGACGTTGAAAGGCTTAAACCGTTGAAATCAAGTTGGAATTTTGAACCGGCAATCCGGGTAAGTCAAATTAGATTAATTTATATCTTTTTATAATTAAAAAAAGGCCGACCCTTCTCAAAATCGATTTCCCGACATGTTCACCATGGATGACATTCAATCGCATCACGATAGTATTAGTGTTAACAATGACGCCGATGCGTCTGATATCGATGGAAGTGGAACTTTCATCCTGGTAGTAGTGATACTAGGGGGGAAATGAGGGCTTCTAAGCTGAGTAGCCCGGTTTAGAAAGTTTTCAAAGTAGAGGATATTGAGGGGAAGGGGAAATGGCCGTTTGCCAAAAATGTAGGAAATACTCTAGTTATTGTAGCAAGGGTGGTACTAGTCATTTGAGTAGACATTTGCTCACACATGAGCAAGAGGAAGATGAAGGGAGATAAACAACCCAAACACAGATTGGGATGGGAACTATTTTTGGTACTTTTAGATATTCACAAGAAAAATGAGACAAGAACTTGCTAAGTATATTCTACATGCGGAACAACCACTTATGTTAGCTGAAGATCCAAAGCTAGAAAAATTGTTGCGTAGTTCTATAAACCCACAATATAAAAAGGTTTATAGGAATACTATAAGAACTAATGCTTTAAAAATTTTTTATTCATATCAACAAAATTTTCTTTGTTAGCAAATCTTAATTATAAAGTTGCAATTACTTTTGATGTTTGGACATCCAAATTTAATATTAGTTATATTTGTGTTACCGGTTATTTCATTGATGAAAATTGGCTTTTGAATAAAAGAATTTTAAGTTTTACTAGGCTTGAATGGCCACATAGTGGCCCAACTATTGCTGCAAGTATTTTAAATACTTTGCATGCTTATGGAATTGTTTTATATTAATTTTGATAATGCTAGCAATAATGATTATGCAATAATTATTTTTAAATCTCAATTAAAACCATGCTTAAATGGTAAATTATTTCATATTAGATGTGACAGATTTATGTATTCAAGATGCATTGAATATTATTTCAAAAATTAGAAATTGTATTATATATATAAAAAGTTAAGGGGCAAGAAAATAAGAATTTAAATATTTATGCCAAAATTATGGTTTAAAATATAAACATTTTATATTAGATGTAAAACATAGGTGGAATTCTACCTATGCCATGTTATGAAGTTTTATATCTCATAAACAAATTATTTATGATTTTTATAATTTAAAAATGCATAATGATATGATATTTGAGGAACATTGGAAAATGACAATCTGTATAAGAGATTTTTTAAAACATTTTTATGATGCAACAGATAAATTATTTGGAATTTATTATCCAACTAGTTGTAATTTACCATATCAACTAATAGTAATTAGTGATTATTTTGCCAAATATAGAAATAATCCACAATTTCAATGTATTGTTGAAATTATGGAAAATAAATTTAAAAAATATTGGGAGAACATTTCTCCCCTTTATTGTTTATCTACAATATTAAACCCTAGGATTAGGAAAGATGGTTTAGATATTTTACTTGAAACGTATTATGAAAATATGAATATTGATATAGGAAATAAAAAAAAAGAAATTAATAATTTATTATTTGAAATGTACAGTTTGTATGAATCTGAAGTTGTAGGAAATATTCCTACAACTTGTTCATCTTCTTCTTCTCTTTTTGACTTTGAGCCCAATATTAGAAGAGAAAAACTTTTTTATTTAATAAGTAGAAGAAAAAATGCTAATTCTACAACAAGTACAAGTTCATTTACTGAACTTAATTTGTATTTGCAAGCAAATTTTTCTAATTTAGGTGAAATATCAAATAATTTTGATATTTTAGCCTGGTGGAGTGAACAGTCAAAAAATTATCTGGTTCTCGCCGCCATGGCACTTGATCTACTAACCCCTCCGGTGTCCACAATTCCATTGGAGTCTTGTTTTAGTGCAAGTACCAGGGTGTTGGATGACAAAAAAAGCTACATGAACGATGAGAGCATAGAGATGTGCATCTGCTTCAAGGATTGGCTAGATGCAGAAGATAGATTACAAGACAAGGGAGGGCATGATACAACACCGGACATTTTACCCGAAGCAGATGATAAAAGTCATGAATAATGATTCATGAATTTGAATACTTGTAGAAATTTTCATTTTTTCAAATTATTGTAAAATTTTTAAATTTTATTTAATTTATTTGATATATATTTTTTAAATTTTTTAACAATGTAATTTTGTATTTTCAAATTGTAACCATATTGTATTTTTTATATTTTATTAATTTATTCCATTTTTATATTTCATTCATCCAAATATGCAATGGTCCAATCATTGTATTTGTAACTCACTAATTTGTACCATTCAAATTTAAATGAAGTAAAATTCCTATTTTTCTTTCAATTTGTTATTCCATCATTCTTATTTCAAATTGGTTAAGTATTTTTTTTTTCATTTATGTATTAAATAACTTAGATTTCTCATTTCTTAATTTTTTAAATAATTCATAATTCCCAAAGTTCATAGGAAAGTTAAATATTTTAGTTTTACAATTTTACTTAGAAAAGAAAACAAAATTTTCAAAAAAAAAAAAAAAAACAGTGCAACCCAATTCGGCCTAGGCCCAAGGCCTGCCCTATGGCCCAGCCCGGCACAGTCCAAACCCACGGCACGGCCTGCAGCTGGGCCCGGCCCAGGCCCGTGTGCTGGCACGGCACGGCATGGACCCGATTGGGCCTGGGCCGTGGGCCGTGGGCCGTGCCGGGCCGACCCCCAAAATTTCAACCGGCGAGGACGGCACAGCCCGTGGTGGCCCGCGGGCCAGCACGGCACGTGCCGTGCTCACTTTACACCTCCACATGTAAGACACAAAAGCCTGCTGCCTAAGATGTTAATACTTAAAAGCCGAAAAGTAATTAGAAAAACGAAACCATCAGCAGGGTTCCCGCAAAATGCAGCCACAACTACAAACGTTATGCATCATCCAACAAGCTTCTTTACTTGTTTCACGCAAGACCGAACTGCCATGGGATCTGGGTCCTGTTCTACGCAAGGTCACTCCTACTCCTATCTCATGGCAATCTCCTCTGATGAACAAGGTTCATATTCCAAGTAAGATAAGAGCAGTGTCTATAGATGAAATTCCTCCAAATGCCTTCCGTCGGAAGATTGATCCACACTGGAGAGGTGGGTTCAGTGTGGGAGTAGACTTGGGATTATCTCGGACGGGTGTTGCTGTCAGCAAAGGCTTCTCTGCCCGTCCTCTAACTGTAATCACTATCAAATCTCCTTTACTGGCTGTTTTTATTTCCTCTTGTTTCCTTCGGATATGCCTGCAACATCAACATTTTTAGTTTTTACTTTATTTTTGTATTTGAATTGGTTTAGGTTTTAGAGTTGCGAGGACAGAAGCTCGAGTCGCGTCTTCTCGAGATTGCAGAACGAGAGGTACATTTGTGTGTGTGCGTGTCTTCTTCTCAAGATAGTAAAATACTTTTGTTTGGTGATTTGGCTATCAGAATTAACAGAATTTGAGTGTCTTATGAGGAATTCAGGAAGCTGATGAATTTATAATCGGGCTCCCTAAATCTCGTCATGGAAAGGAGACACCGCAATCGAACAAAGTTCGCAGTGTTGCCGGGAGACTTGCAGTCCGAGCAGCAGAAAGGTCAAATAGACTCATATGATATAACTCCTATTTTTTTTTTTTTTTTAATTCTTAAATTTGGATTCCTAATTGTGAATGGGTTTCAGAACCATTAAGCTTGTATATGCTCCTATTCATGATTTTACCTTTTTATCTGCAAGACTATCAGCCTTTGACATTAAATCTATTATCCATGGAAATACCAGTCAGATGGGATGACTCTTATCATGCTGGTTTACTTGAGCCTACCGTTTGATTAGTTAATTTTTCCTCTACAATTTATGAAAGTAAATTTTTCTTGATTTATGGAATAGCCGAGTAGGAGGTATAAGATGATTAAATGTTAATTTTGTCAACTTCTTTACATACAGAGTGGTGTCACTGGAATAACCATTACACCGACCATGTTAATAAACAAAAGACATATAGTCTTGTAGAAGAACAGAGGAATTAGAGGCAAATTTCAGATGGGTAAAGAGAACGGTAAATGGGATGGTTGACTGCTTGACTAAGCAAGGGGTGTATAGGGATCAATTGCTTTGGGCAGATTTGTAATAGGGGATGCATAAGCTTGAAAAGTATTTGATTTTTCATTTGTATCAGAAACATGTTGTAATGTTTTTCAGTAAGTTAATGAATTGATTATTGATTATTGATTATTGATAAAAAAAATTCTTATAGAAGAAAATCATGTATTCAAACAATTTACTTTTATGTATTTTCTCTCACAAGTAGACTTGTTCGTGAGTGGCCTGTCAAGCTTGGCTTTACTTTTCTTCGAGCTTGGGCTTTGGGTCAGGTCCATTCAAATTTTGGCAAAACTTGAACTCGAGCCCAGCCTATGAACAGAGTTTGGATCTGGTCCCAACACAGGGTCCCAAGAACCGGTCCGAATAACCATTTGCAGCTGTACATCAGGAACATCTTGCCATGAAGGACATGGGAGATGTTCCCAATACACAACTACAATGGCTCTTGGGGTTGGTTGTTGGGACTAGATCCGAACTCCCATGAATACTCACAAGTCTACAAAAAACAACCTAAGGTTTGGTTTGGTTTGTGGGATGGGGATGGGAAAAAGGGAATATTCCAAAAATATTCCTTTTTCCTTTATTTGTTTTGAGGGAAATAAGGGGGTGGGATGGGAAAAATGTGGGACACGTGATCCCAAAATCGAGTAGGCAGGATTGCACCTAAACAGTGCGACCCTAGCGAGAAAACTCTACTGAGAAAATTTATTGGGTCTAGTGATCTAGTCAGAATAGAGCCTTGAGAGACTCTTTTTCTTCAACCTCCACCCATCCCAATGGTCGGATCTCCGATGATTTCTCCAGCCATTTTGTTCAAAGGTAAGACTAGATCCATCTTCTACATCCTTTGTTTACCTGCTGTTTTGTTTTTTTTGGTCCATTATTCCTTCTTCCCCATCCCTTTGTTTCCCCCCTTAATGGCTGGACACCCAATTGTTTTCTTCAATGTGCGGGATTTCCATATGTAAAACTAATAGGATACACATTGGGTTCCTAGATTTAACATTTTCATCCCATTTTCTTTTTTGCAGATTGAAGCCAAATCCACCAGCGGGTTCAAATCTATATTATTTTTTTGTCACTCGATAGTATAATGGGATTACTTGTTCTCTGTTTTCTTATATTACTATATTTCATTTGATGAAGAAGTGGTTTAATTGAAGATTCGGGTTTGGGTTATCTTTCATCGAACAAATGCATAAAATGGGTTCTCCAATATTTTACCAGTTCTGGATTTTATGTAGACACAACACAGTCAATGCATATCAGCGAGGTTTTACTTCTTTACCCTTAAATATATATTCACTATCTTACAAGTATATATAGCAAATCAATTTCTAGAGGGATTTGAGCATCCCAAAGTTACTAGAAAAATGTGTGTGTGTGAGAGAGAGAGAGAGAGAGAGAGAGAGAGAGTAACCATTGACTGTACCCAGATTTAGAAGCTGATAGTAATAGTAATTTCTACTTTTTATGTTTTTATTTTCAAACCACCTATTGTTTTCTTTAGGGGTATCCTATTTTTTAGAAGGTATGAAATTACCAGTTTCCTATTTTGTTTAGAAAGTATTAGGTTAAGTCAACTACCATTTTGCTGTCCTTTTATTTTTAGGGGTTTCTAGGATTCTAATTAGGAGTTAACTGCATTTTAGTAATTGCAAAATTTATAAACTTTGTGTTTTTTATATACATGTAAATCTGTCTAGAACAGAAGAATTGAATGGATTAGATGGGAAAAGGTGAGGAAATTGAAAGAGGAAGGGGGTTTGGGAATAGGGAATGTTAGACTGAAGAATCAGGCTTTGCTTAGCAAATAGCTATGGAGGTTTCCAAATGAAAATGAGAAATTATGGCACAGAGTGGTTGCAAACATTCATGGCATGTCAAGCAACGAATGGGATGCTGGATGTCTCCGTAGGGCTAACTTGGCTGCTCCCTGAAAGGCCATCCATGATGTTCTCCCTACATTCCTAAATTTTATCAGGTATGACTTGTCTTTTGGTAGCAAAATCAGATTTTGGGAGGATGTGTATTTCCTTCTCTTTGTGATCTGTCCAGGTTCAAGGGTAAGCCTATTTCATATTTCCTAAGTCAACCATCTCACCTTCCAGGGTTGAATTGGACCTTTGGATTTAACAGGAACCTTAGAGAGTCTGGACTTCTTGCAGTGCCCGAGCTGTTAGGATTGTTGAATTCAGTTTTCTTGGGGGAAGGTGGTCAGATTCTAGAATTTGGGGTCCTAATTCCGAAGGGTCCTTTTCCTGTAAATCCTTTCTACACTCGATGGTTGCCACACAATCTTCTCTTCATTTTCCAGTCAAAGAAATTTGGTGCCCTCCTATTCCCCCTAAAATCAATGCTTTTTGTTGGGAAGTTTTTCATGGTTGTATTAATACCTTTGATGTACTTCAAAGGAAAAGACCAAATTGGTGCTTGTCCCCTAACTGGTGTGTCCTATGTAAATTGAGTGGTGAGACTGTTTTCCACCGTCTTATATCTTGCCCTTTTGTCAGTTTTATTTGGAATTGGTTTACTTCCCTTTTTGGGTGCAAGTGGTCATTTCCTGACAGGGTGGAAGGCTTATTCAACCCTAATGGTATCAGTGGTAAGACAAGGAGGGGAAGGGTTCTTTGGAGGTGTACTAGAGTAGCAATACTTTGGACCATCTGGGAGGAAAGAAATGATAGAATATTTGAAAGTAAAGAAAAATGCAAGGAAGGTTTAGTTGAAACAATAATATTGAGGGTGGCACATTGGGTAAAAAGTTTGAAGCTGTTTTCAGCCTTTAAGGTCGAAAACTTTTTTAGGGTTTGGGGACTTATTGTTGCTTCATCATCTACGAGACAACAGTTTGTTGAGACTTGGTCCCCTCCAACAGATGGTTGGAAGAAACTAAACTTTGATGGGAATTGTGTGGGTAACCCAAGCCCTTCAGGTATTGGGGGGGGCATTAGAGACGAAAATGGTTTCATTATTGCCTTGTACTCTGGTTCTGTGGAGGTGGGTGATGTGGCAAGGGTAGAGTTTCTAGCTGCAGTATATGGGGTTGAGAAGGTTAAAGAGTTGGGGATTAATAGATTGATCATCGAGGGAGACTCAAAAACTGTGATAAAATGGTTGCAGAAAGGGGAAGGGGTGACATGGCTGTTGAAGAATGATTTCAGAAGATTTAAATGGATGCCAAGGAGCATGTCAATTCAGGTGGGATGGGTAAGGAGATCTGCCAACAGTTTGGCAGATAGCTTAGCAAAGCAAGGGGTTCAAAGAATATTTATGTTTTGGGCACATTTGTAATTCTGTACTGGGTCAGCTTACTATGCTGATTTCTTTGGAAACTTCTTGTTGTATCCTAAAGCATTTTAATCAATAAAATTTTTCAAAGTTATTGATCAAAAAAAAAAAAAAAGAATTGAATGGGTTAATTTGTTTCTCTACAGTTATTCTTTTCTCATCTTGAAATCAATGCCGGAGAAACATGTGATTTCTTCTTTTCTCTTTGTTATTTACAGTAGTTGCCTTCTCCTATTAGAAAACCAGCAACTATTCTCTGGATTTTGTCTTAGATTCAGAGTATACTTTGTTGGATTTTGAAGCAAGGCTACCCATTGATTTTGCCTTCTATCTACTGGTCCCTACATTACCTAGCATGCTGTTTCACTGCTATATGGTGGTGAAACTGACTATGTATACAATTATACATGTATATTAAAGACTTAAAGTAGAAACTTTGTTAGAGGTCTGTACTTATTATTTATATTCTTGCTTACTGCATGTTTAGATGTGTAAGAATTCTTGGACAAACCTCTTTTTGCTTTAGTATGGCATATTAATGTTGATCTTCCTTTTTTCTTTTTTGTTTTCTGTCTGTGTGTACCAGGGGTTGGAGGGTATACCTGCAGGATGAACATGGGACATCAATGGAAGCCCTTGATTTTATGATTGACACGTAATTATAATCTGAGTTATCTTGTTCTGTTTGCCTACTATTTCTTGGATTAAGGCATGCCTATTAATTATTATGTCTGCTCTTTCACTTGTGACAAATTGGCTGATAATTTTCTTTTCTAGTCATATTATGTGTTTACAGAGATAAATTATCATTTTCTTTGTTCAAATTCCAAAATAATAAAGGAAATGGTCCTTCTAAACACTGGATAAGTTTTCTTGTCTTTTGAAATTAACTTCTAGCTTTTCTAGTCATTTTAGAGGACTGCTTCTTACATGCTTTTAGGGCATGTGGCCTTTAGAACATCTCCTAAATGAGACACCTATCTCTAGCCTTAGGGCAGGCACTACGTTCATTTTAATAGCATCAAGGTTTCTTGATATCAAAAAATAAAACACAATTTTATTTTTGTGATTCAACTCCCTCTACTAGGGGTTGACAGTTGTAGCAATGGAATTCCTAAAGCTATGGATAATGGCACTACAATTGGCCCCATCAAACTGCCTTTATTTGGTCATTTATTTACCTACTTTTGGTTCTGTTATTCCTTGGATGGGAGGTGATTTATCCTCCCCAAACCAGATTTTCTGAACCTTTGTCTAGAAATGCTACAATATTTAACTCACAGTACTTTAGTGGAAGAATTACAAAGACACGACCAGAGATCGACTTCTAAAAGATTAAATAGAAATGAATGAATAAATACCCCCATTATGTGCAAGTAGAAGCAGTGCTGGATAACTTTGTAAACTTTGTTGAGTTATAGAGCTGGTCATAGGGTTAGGTTCTTTTTTATACATTTATTTCCTTGTTATTATTTCTTGTGTTAGTTATATGGTCTTTTGTCTCAATGATGTAACTACAACATTCGTATTAATAAAAGATATTGGGGTGGCAGTTAGAGATCAACATTTTTTCGATCTACTAGCTTTATTTTTCCAACTTTTCTTCTTCTCTTCTATCTCAGTTCAAATCATACCTGGATTACTGTTAGGATTTTTCCAAATTTATTTAGCATTATTCCAGGTCTGATCACATGGTATCAAAGCAAGGCTGATCGACCTGGACTGGTAAGGACACCACAACATAATCAATCCAGCCTTCCTTCTCACTATAGCTTGAAGAAGAGGAAAGCGACCAAGGACTGATCGCCTTCTTCCAAAAAGGACTCTTCAATACCTTGTTTATTAGTCCCCATAACAATGTCATCAACATTAATGACAAATACAACTTGCTAGAGGCAGTATCCCTACTAAACATAGAGTGATCAACACTGCACTATTTCATTCCAAATTTCTGCACAACATTACTAAATCTTCCAAACCAAGCTCTTGGAGATTATTTCAGTCCATAAATTGCCTTCTTTTAATCTGCACACCTTTTCCTTCCTCTCCCTGAACAACATACCTAGGAGGTTGCTCCATATATACTTCCTCCTCTAAGGCACCATGAAACACATTTTTCACATCCAATTGAAACAATGGTCAATCAAGGTGAACATCCAGAGAAATAATCACACAAATTGAGCCCATCTTAGCCACACATGTGAAAGTTTCAGTATGGTCACTAGTCAGCAATGTAGGTCTGTGCATACCCTTTTGCCACTAGACATGCCTTATATGTTATATCTCTCTATCTGCTCTGTGCTTCATTGTATAAACCCATCAACAACCAATTGCCTTTTTTTCCAGAAGGAAGATGAGTTAGGTCTTAGGTGTGATTAGACTGAAGAGCATGAAGTTCATCATCCATTGCCCTCTTCCATTCTGGTGAGAGGACATCATGAACTGACCTATGAACAGTCACAGAAAAAAAAGAAGGGATACAAAATTCTAATACAAAGGACAATGAAGGTGACTATCATATTGACTCTGTCTGAAGTAGAAAAGGTGAGTTGCACTTAAGTCGAAGTTTGTTCTACAATGGAGATAAGCAGGAAGTCCAAAAGGAGGAGGAATCACAAGAGTCTCTTATCAACGAGGTCAAAAGAGATGTAGGAGTGCAACCTCAAGTGGATAGTGGCCTTAATAGCTCAACCCAACTACAATAGGGAATCATTTAGTCAAGAAGAACAGAAAACCCTCCCAAATCAGAAACAAGAACAAGGTGTCCGGATGATGGATCCACAAGGGAACCAAAAAACTTCATTGGAAACACAAAATGGGGAAACAAAACTAGAATACAAGTTGGAACCCTCCCAACATGATGGGGTTGATTTCATAGGATTGGGGAATCCTGATTTGGTCGGGAATCAAAGGAACTATAGTTTTAAACCCTAGTGCGCCTGTCTTTCTACTTTCCTTTGGGAATCCTTGTAAGACTGGTGGTTTGGTTTTTGGAACTAACTCTTTTTCTAATGCTTCTGCAGATCTAACAGCTCCCATCCTTGTTCCAATTGTGCCCTTGACAATGCCAGGAGGAGGAAAGCCTATTGTAGGAGATAGTTTAGTGGGAGGAGGGCATGATGATATAGAGATAAGGAGGGATTTGTTAGGGGAAAATGAGAGGATTAGAGAGAATCCGGGGAAAATTCAGAGCCAAAAGAATGTTGAAGAGAAGGAGCTCTTAGGATATCTAAATGAAGGAAAGGGAAAGGAAGTTGATCCTAAGGAGAGAAAAAATACTGGGGACTTATAGAAGGAGGAAGATCTGGTGGTGAACTTGGCTATTAAAATGGGCCTTAAAATCAAGGATTAAGTATCGATGTCGGGTATCGTATCAGACAACTCAGATACGGATATGGATACGCTTTGGAAACGCATGGATACAGACGAAAAAGATGGAAACACATGGATACACTAGGGAAATACATACGAATTTCATAAATATGTTAATAACACTAAGTTTAAGATCAAAATGATCACAAAATAGTATATAAATACATAAAAATGTAAATATTAAGGATATATATGAAGAAATATATTACGATTAATTAACCGGGATGTATAATTTCGTTTATAGTACATCAATCAAGAGTCCAAGACACTAAACATATGCACCTATTATATTTTAATTATTATATCAATTGTTTTATATTTTACTATTTTAATTTTTTAGCATTAAGAAAAAGTCAACTAAATATTAAATTTTCAAGTGCAAATTAAAATATCAATTAATAATTTATAAAAATATAATCATAACTTACAGTATATCAAATTTGTTAAAATTTCTAAGATGCATATCATATACAAATTCATAGTTTTTAATTACTAAAATAATTATTCCATTATTAATATTTTTATTTATATAAATTTTATGAAATAAGAAATCATTTTTTGCAATAAATGTAGACTAGTGGATTTAATAAATTCAATTTAATATTATATTCTTCAATATTTTGTATATAATATTTTTTTTATTTTTTTGTAAACAATAAATATGTTGGTATTACTTATTAATGTAAATTAAAATATTAATTAATAACTAATAAAAGTATATAAAAATTTTAAGATTTATATCATGTGCAAATTTATAAATTTTGAGTATTAAAATAATTATTCTATTATTAATATTCTATTTGTATAAATTTCTTGATATTAAAATTCATTTTTTATATAAATGTGGATTTGATACATTATTTATTCTATTAGTTTATAACATACTATTTTTAAATATTATTATTTTTTTATTTTTAGTTAGAGTTGTTAAATATAAATGTGTTTTTTATTTAAATTGCAACGAACAGAAAAAGTTGTTAAAACTTATTTTATTTTACTTTATATCACGAAATGTAGCATGGCTTATTGGTTTGGAAACACATCGAATTCTAAATGTGCGTGAGGTGACCTGAGCTTGAATCACCTCATTCGCATTAATTTTTATGGAGATTCCTAAATGGACGCAATGCGTACCAATGCGTATCGACCGATACAATGCGATATAGGCCGATACGCATCCATATCCATTCGATACGAACACTTGTATTCATAGCGTATCCCATATCGTTACTAACCAATATCGATACGATACGCCCCGTATCGGACGTATCATATCGATATTTAAATCCTTGCTTAAAATAGATAATTCTAAGCAGTGAATCACGTGAAAGTTGGATGCTCCAAATTCAGGGGGGGGTCAAAGAATTTCATAAAACGTTCTTGGTGGAAAAAAATGTGAGTGAAAGATCCTATTGAGTCAAATTTGGACCATTAATCTAAGAAATAGTGAAAATTCTTGATCTCTCTCAATTCGAAGATCCAGGATTTGAATTGATGTCGTTTCATGGGGGGGGGGGGGGAGGAGGCATTGGGTGGCTCAAGCTCCCTCTTGGGGTGCCTCAGGGGGCATAATTTCTTTGTGAAATGAGGAGTTTGTGGAAAGCTTGGAGGAATTGATTGGAAGATTCTCAGTTTTAGTTAAATTGAGATGTTTGGCTAACAATTTTGTATGGGTTATGACCAACATTTATGGTCCAAATGCGTATAGAGAGAAATGAATTGTGGAAGGAGTTGGCAGACATTAGAGGTCTATGGCAAGGACCTTGGTGTTTGGGTTTTCTGTTGATAAAAAAGTAGTGAACATTCTCAAAGAATGACGCATGTAGAGGCACAAAAGAAGTGACAAAGAGTAGGACTATAGCACTTGTACCCCTTCTGGGTCTTGGAGTACACTAAGAAAACACATTTGAGAGCCCAAGAATCCAGTTTGTCCAAATCTATACCCAAACGATGAATAAAACATATGCAACCAAAGACATGAGGCAACATAATGTAGGAACCGAAGAATCAAATTTGGAATTTTTTGAAAATTTATGTATTTTTGTATTTTTAGATAGTAGGGGTATTTTCGTCATTTTGAGCACTCCCATGTGGGCCTGAGCTATAGCATCTTGTTCCCATAGTTTAATAGGGCTTATTTTTCAATTTTCAGCTTATTTGCATTAGTAGGTAGAAAGTTATTGTGTTTCTTGATGCACAAAACAATGCATGGCATTTTTGTAATTATGATGAACAGTATTCCGAGCCACAAGCTACTCTATAAATAGATGTATTCTCTTCCTTTACAAAGAAGTGAAGATTTCTTTGGAGCTTTCTTGCAAGTTTGCTATATGGAGTGATTCTTACATATCCTAGAGTGATTGTAGGACCCTTGGAGTGATTCATCGGGATTTATTTCTCTTTTCTTCTTCTCTACCCTCCCTCTCTCTCTCTCTCTCTCTCTCTCTCTCTCTCACTCACACACACACACACTATTGTTCTCTCTTTCCAACTTGTGTCAGTTTATTCTAGCCTTGTCGCATCACTTTAGTGATTCCTACAAATCCTAGAATGATTCTAGGATCCTTGAAGTGATTCCTTGGGATTTCTTTCTCTCTTCTCTTTCTCTACCCTACAAAAATGCCACTCCTTGTATTGTGCATCAAGAAACACAATAACTTTCTACCTACTGATGCAAATAAGCTGAAAATTGGAAGATAAGCCCTAGTAAGCTATGGGAACAAGATGCTATAGCCCAGGCCCACATGGGAATGGTCAAAATGATGAAAATATCCCTACTATAAAAAACATAAATACATAAAATTTTAGAAAATTTCAAATTTGATTCTTCAATTCCGGCGTTATAACAAAAATAGAGACTAAGAAGAAAAAACAATAGTGAAGGGTGTATCACCATTTAGAACCAAAGACGACATAAGATTAATGAGGAAACAAGGACATCATCACTCTAATATTTTTAGGAACCAACATTTTAAGCAAAAGTGCCCAAGTAGTATCAAGTAAATGCCTGTTCTTCCTCTGCAACTCCATTTTGTTGTGGAGTGGAAGAGTAAGAAGACTAGTGTATAATGCCATGAGATTCAAAGAGTGTTTGGAACAGGCATTGGAAATATTCTTTTGCATTATTAGAATGGAAACATTTAATTGAAACAACAAACTGATTCTTGATTTCAGCATAGAAGGAGAGAAAATATCAAACACTTTAGTACGAGATTTCATTAAAAAAAACCCAAGTCATTCTTGAAAAATCATCAACAAAGGAAACAAAGTACTTAGGACCATTATAAGACTCAATTGGACAAGAGCCCCAAACATAATTTGTGCTTTCTCCTGTTTCTAGTCATTATACCCAAGTACCCAACAACTCTTGAATCTGGTTTATTCTCCCTGATGTACTTCAATTGACCTCTAGGCTCAGTTTGGAAAGAATACAAATGCAAATATGTACAGTACAAATACATACAAAATATAAGGTTTTGCACTCTATATATTTGCATTTATACTCCTTCCAAACTGAGCCCTAGCAGTCAGATTTGCCTCAACTGATTCTGCCCACGGTACCTAATTTGTACTATTGATCTTAACTGATGTCATTCGATAGTTATTGGGTCTGTTGTCTCAGGTTCAATGATGTAATTACAGCATTAGTATAATAAAAGATATTGGGGCGATGGTTAGAGATCAATAGTTTTTCGATCTCTACTAGATTTCAGCCCTAGTTTTCCAACTTCTTCTCTTCTACATCGACCCAAGTCATATCTAGATTAGTGTTAGGATTTTTCCAGATTTATTTAGTATTATTCAGGTCTGATCACATACTTATAGAGAAATGCCTAGGCTACACATCACTGTGATTCCCTTTGAGATGCTTTGAGTGGATTGTGAGTCACTTTTCATGCTATTTGAGAAATTAAGTATCTCTTATGGTGAGAGATGCCTTGCCAATGGGCATATAGTGTATAGAATTGAATTAAAAAGGATGAAATGACTTAAAATTCCTCTATAAAATGGATCTAAATGTAGGATTGTAGATTAACCGTTTACAGTGATAATCAAATGGCTAACCACTAGCAGCTGTTCCTCTAAGCCGTTTCTTTTTTTCTTTTTTTTTTTTTACATTTTGTTACTATTATTGGAAACCTTTTCTGAAATATTCTTTGTGCCATCAAGATAAGGGAGTACCTGTGGCTTACATTTTTATATGAATTCTTGGTGCTTTAACAGAGAAATTAAGAGGATAATTATTTAAATGGAAAATGTCTAAAGAACCTTCTCACATAAGTTTAATCCCGTTTCCATTTTCTAGGGGCATCAACAAGTCCACTCGGCAGGGAAGAATTGACGCTTTTGCTGCTATGGTATATAAGTATTCTTGCTATATATTTTTTACTATTGTTTTCATTTTCTACATGAACCTTCTCACATAAGTTTAATCCCGTTCCATTTTCTAGGAGAGTGCTGTTGATTTCTTCTTTTATTTCATTTGCTTTTGTTTCCTCCTTTGAGTTCAGATGGTTTTAGAGAGATATTTCTCTATGTCGGGTCATGGAACTGAGCTTGTTCTTCCCAAGCAGTTGGATCTTCAAGAAAAACTTCGAAAAGGTCCTCCCAAAGATGAAGATTTTTTCCCAGAAGATTTTGAGGCTTGATAATGTACCAGTACAACCAATTCAAGTAGTAAGACCCTGGTACCTTCATCAATTGTATTTTAAACCTCATTTATGTGATGGGTAATGGTGACAAAAATTAACCAGTTGAATGAGTAGGTAGTGAGTTGGAATATATTTGAGAGTAGAACTAGTGGGCCCACAAGAAAAAGAAAAAGTGATTTGTTCAAATTATTATTTTTTGCTACCCCTCTTCAGACAACCATCCTGATTTGAAAGATGGTTGTATTTTAAACCTCATTTATGTGATGGGTAATGGTGACAAAAATTAACCAGTTGAATGAGTAGGTAGTGAGTTGGAATATTTTTGAGAGTAGAACTAGTGGGCCCACAAGAAAAAGAAAAAGTGATTTGTTCAAATTATTATTTTTTGCTACCCCTCTTCAGACAACCATCCTGATTTGAAAGATGGTTTCCCTCGGCTCCTTTTATATGTATTAGGGATGCTAATTAGAATTAGAAACCTCTTGAGCAAGCCATGAACTCTGCTGAAGTTGGAAATTAAACTCTGATTCATAACTTACAGCGTATAACTAGTGGGTCCACAAGAAAAAGAAAAAAGTGATTTGATCAAATTGTTATTTTTTGCTATCCCTCTTCAGACAATCATCCTGATTTGAAAGATGGTTTGCCCTTCAGTTCCTTTTATATGTATTAGAGATGCTAATTAGAATCAGAAACCTATAGAGCAAGCCATGAACTCTGCTGAAGTTGGAAATTAAACTCCGATTCATAACTTACAGCAAGTTTAGATGCTTGTAGAACAAGTTGGTCTGATAAAATCCACTTTCATACTCAATATAATAAGGCGATTATCCAACTGACCAAGATTTTCTGGAAAGGGAATGTGAACAGAAAGAAGAAATATACTATCCATGGTGACGAGTTGTCACTGGAATATCCAAGCGGACAGTACAACACACCTTCTCCATAACAATGCATACGTGATCTTTTTTTTAACCCCAAAATTTACTCCAGGTGGGGGGGGGGGGCACCTTAAGATTTCATTAGAATATCAATAAAATCAACAGATACAGGGGAGGACATACATGATCTACCACACCTAAAATACATCAATAAAACAAAGAGAAAAAAACTAAAAAAATTATGAGTAGCTCAAGTCAATTACAATAAGCTAGTTATGCTTGTTCTTCTAGCACCTTTCTGTGAATGTGTTAGAGACATCTTTTTTTTTTCTCCATGGACTCTTCATGTATATATAGATATTTTATTATTTTATTTTTATATTTATAAAAGCCATATCAAGTAATTAAGATGCTTTTCATTTTGCTCTTCTTGCCATTTGCAGCTATGGTTTGTCTTGCTGCATTTCTAGCAGGTTTGTATTTTTCCTGAAATTGCAAAAAATTTAAGATCCGATTGAGATGCTGATTAACTTGCCTCCACCTGAAAATGGATCTACCATCATATTTTGTAATACTACAAAGTTGTTGTGTGAAAATCTGACCTGAGGGGTGTCTGTAAGTTGGATTTAAACTCTAGGTGCAGATCTTACAACCCACCAATGTGGGCTTTGTAATCATTGGCCATGACCCATGTTTTGAAGGATTGATCCATCTCAGCTGGTCTTGGTATTTGTCAGTGTGAGATCAGTAACATTGAATCAGTTTTGACTACTTTACATTATTTCATTTGTTACAATGTTTTAGACCTGAGAGGTGATAATTCTCAGAGTTCTGATTCAACAGAGTTTGCATGAGGGGGAACTTGCAAATGTGAACCAGTGGAGTGGCATCAAATGGGACATGGCTATACAAAACAAGGTCTGAATGTCAAGTAGATTTCAATGATGTTATAATGCCTCAACCTCATGCAAGGGGAGTGTCATCAATCATTCTCTTCAAATTGATAATGCCCTTTATGCATCATGGACACCATATTATGTACACACGATCAACACTACAGTGCAATCAGTTGCAATGGGACTGTCCATTTCTTCTTGTGAATGGACCATTGATGTTAATTGGTAAAGTCTACATGGTGAGCCCAAGTAGTACTTTTAAGGTTGAGTGGTAGTAGGTTAGGATTTTACAGCTACAGGATTAGTACATATCTAATCTGGGTTTGTTTTAACAGTAATGAATTAAGATGTCTATTTTTCTGCAGAATGGTTCATGAAATGTGGTTGTATTTCTTACAAATCCAGAATTTCTGAACAAAATGCCCCTCCAAGCGTTGATTCAATCTCAGCTTAGGCTTCTAAAATGGTATCCATTGGTTCCAGTTTCTCTTGAGACAAGGCAGACGGTGTATCCCTTAAACATCGTGTGATCTTTTGCATCCGTTTGATAGTTTTGTGGAAGGAAGAACCGAAGAACCAAGCATGTATTAGAAAATATGCACAGGAAGGCCATGCGAACTCAGTTGGATTAACCTTGTGCTTTTCCTTTCTGTTAGAAATGGTGAGTTCATTTCGTTCTTCAGTACAGTTCGTTAAAATCAAGGGCCTCCATCTGAAAGGGTAAGCAAATATTGCAAGGCCATGCGAACTCAGTTGAATTAACCCTGTGCTTTTCCTTTCTGCAAGCATGTCCTTACTTTCACCAGTGATCCCCATGTGATTGAGGCACAACAGAAAGGGTAAGCAAATATTAGATAAGATGATTTTGTATAGAAACAACACAAATCGTAACTAGTCTTACCTAGATGCGAACACCAACATTTAGATGAGATGATTTGGCTTCTTATTACCTTGAGATATTCGTGGAAAGAACTTGCTTCATGATCCGGATCTCCCATCTAAATGGATCTTGATCTGAGGGACCAAAATCTTGAAGTAGTAGCTAACAATGATATAGATCCATTGCCTTTTCTATGGATGTAGACCTAGAATTGTAATCCTAGAATCTTGATACAAGTCTCATAAAAAAGGACGCAAGAAAACAAAAATGGTTAGTCCTTAAGCAAGGTTGAATTGGAAGAAAATACAGGTAAAAATAAGAGAACAAAATCCATTTAATCCACTCAAAAATAAGAGAACAAAACCATCACTTTTTTTTTTTTGAATTGTAGATGACTGTTGTCTAGAATTTCTTGAGGCTTGTTGGTGTTCTTCCAATATCATCATCTCTGCTAATGAAGAATACAACATTGATTGTTAATATTGGTGGTGACAATACTACCATTGAAGTTGAAGAAGTGGGTTTGAGAAAGCAGAATGAGATGTCTCGGGTAATTCCTCCTCTATGTTGAAGGCGGTGTAGTTGCATAGTAATTCCTCCTCTATCACCATTTGAGGTTGAAGTGTAGAGTGTTGTTCTCCTTGGAGATCAGAGTGTAACCAAAGATTCTAATGTAAGAGCAGTGGACTTGGCACTAATAGTCTGCTCCATAGGTCCAATGTAATGGTGGTGGGAAACTGGAGGGGAGAGAGAGATGAAATGGGTTTCCCTCTCTATAATGGGTGTGAAGTGAAATGAGTAATGGGTAAAGTCCTTTAAAATGGGTATGACATCCTTATTTATAGAAATAGAGTGAGGTAAACTCAAGAAGTTTCTTAATCTTCCCATTTTACCCTTATTTTGGAATGTTCTTAACTGATTAATACATTAGTGCACATATTTAATTACATTATGGATATTAGGTACTTGATCCTTTAATTAATTGGCCTAAAATAGTTTGGTTCAGCCTGTACTCAATCCGAATTATTGGGGTCCACAAGCTTGTATAATAAAAAAGAATGATTTTTTGTTAATGATGGAAATAGAATAAAAGTTTAACCTAACTCATAGAAAAGTTATTTTTCCATACAAGTGCAAATTGGGCGGGCTCAATTTGAGTCTGAACCAACCCAACTTGCAATTTTAGATGAACTAGCTTGGAGTTTTGGCCTTTGGGCTTGACCTAGGCCTAGGCCCAAAAGTTTGGACTCTTCTATGTTTTTGAATTGCACCTAAGCCTAGGTTTAAGTAGCTTGAGCATGGCATACATACACATACATTTATGTCAAATTTTAGTATATGAATGATTGATCAATCCAAGCTTAAGCCTAATCTAAATGCATCAAATTTTAATGCAAGCTTGGCCCAAGTTGGACAAATTAAGTTTGACCTTGGGCTTGAGCCTTAACCCCAATGCAAAGGGTTGGGACTAGGTTGAGCACAAATTCAACCCAACCTACACAACTTGCACCCTAACAGTCAAACCATTTGGGCAAAATGGGTTAATCAATAATGTCATAATTAAATAATAAAAACTATAAAATAGAGAGAATTACAAAAAATATAAAATTATTAGAAAAAGTTGACATATTTGGAATACTATAATTTGCCATATTAAACGAAGACAAGTGTGTTAATTTTATAATTAAATATGTAAATCAAATAAAAAATTTAAAATTTCAAAAAATGAGATTGTTTTCTCTTTCAAGTCAAATAGGTCAACACATGATGCCATAATTATATAATAAAAACTTAGAAAAATAGATAGAAATGAAAAATTATAGAAAATACAAAAAATTGTAAAAAAATTGAACATCACTAATATTATATGTTTGTCGTATTAAAAGAATAATTATGATAATTAAGAAGTATTTTTATTAACATTGAAAATAAAATACAAAATTTAAATATACCAACATGCCATGCTTTCATTACTTACTTATCTTTTAATGGCTTCTAATAAGAATATTGAAATTATTATTGTTATCTGAAATTATAACGTGGAACATATGTGTACATTTACTAGTATATAATAGAAAGAGGAGTGTGTAGAGGCTAAGGGTCTTTTTGCCACATGCCTCACAGAGACCTCTTTCTCCTCTCATTTCTCACACATGTAGATATCTGTTTTTAAACTAAATTATTAAAAATATAAGACGTCACAATAAAATCCCCATTAGGTCTTAATTTCATCTAATAAAATCTATCATTACTCAATAACATCATTCATAAATCCTTCCCCCCCCCATTAGTTACCCTTCTTGACTCTAAGGGTGTTTGGCAAGCCTTTTCGAGTGGTCTTTCAAGCTTTTCAAAGTTTAGAAGACCAAAAATTGGTTTTTCTCCATTTAGCAATGATAGGAATCTAGAAAGACCAATGTCCTAAAAAACTCATAGAAGGCCAAAATGGCAAAAAATTTGGAAGCTTCAAATAAAGTCTTGTTCTTGTCTTTCTACACCTAAAATCTTTCATTTAACAATTCTGTAGCCCGTTGTAGAAAGGATACTCACCAAACAGTCTAATCCTTAAAGACAAAACCCCAAAAATCTCCTTACATCTTTTGGCCATCTAAGCTATCATAAGATCTGCCTAAAAGGATTTGCCAAATATCACCTTTGTTAATAAATTAGAGGGTATAAACCCCATTGGGTTTATTTGCTAGTTTTAAAGACAATAAAAACATATTTGGATTTACAATCATAGTTCTAAATATTAGACTTGCACATAATTATATATGTTATTTATACATATTTTATAGATATGTATATATATGTTATTTTATATAATATAAATAATATAATATGACATTTATAATGCATATTATATATAATATTTTATATTATGTAATGTATAAAATAATTTTTATGCGCATATTTCTGTAATATTACATATTTGATGCAAGGTTTTAAAAAGCAACCTGGAAAGGGAACCATTTTGGCCATCGGTTTTTGGGTCGATGGTTCAACCATCCGGTTCAAATGGATGGCCCATTCTGACAATAAAAAATAAAAAATAAAAAATGGTCAAAAATCATTGAACAGGTTGACAATTCAATTGCCTGAATCAACGGGTCATTAATCGATTTAACGGTTTTGACCAGGGAACAGTTCGTAGGCCGAACATTCCGACCGTCCGGATCAACGGTGGTTCAAAAACCAGATGTATATAACTAGAGGACCGCAATCAGACCCGGGCTTATGTTTTAGGCCTGGAACGGGCCCCAGGCTATAGGCCTTAGTCCTTATTACAGTTGCAAAGCCGTATAAATTCGATCGGATTCGGAATTAAATGATCAGTAATCGGATCGACTTTGGCTGTTCGCGCTTTCTGATCCGTATCCGACCCGTTTACAGCCTTAAATGTCACAGGATTGAATTCTTTCTTGACGAAATTCCGAACCAAGCGAACATCTTTTGCGACTGCAAACTCAGGCATGATTTCTTTAAACCATCGTTTCATTGATTCATTCTACAGTTTTATGCCCCAAAACTATTAAATTTATCCTTACAATTCTCATTTGTCTTTCATTCTGTTCGTGCTTCCTCTTACAGTTGTAAATTAGGTTTTTTTGTTTTCTGTAACCGGAAAAACCCACGAGAGGGTCTCGAATTCTTTAAAACTTTTTTTTTCTTTTTTTCTGTTCAGTTTGTTGTTTTAGCAGTTGATTTTAGAGGAAAATGTCTCGGAGGTACGATAGCCGCACGACGATCTTCTCCCCGGAAGGCCGTCTCTACCAAGTGGAGTATGCGATGGAGGCCATCGGAAATGCAGGAACTGCAATCGGAGTATTGTCTAAAGATGGAGTCGTATTGGTTGGTGAAAAGAAGGTTACGTCGAAGCTCCTACAGACCTCGAAATCCACCGAGAAGATGTACAAGATCGACGACCATGTTGCCTGCGCTGTTGCCGGAATAATGTCTGATGCCAATATTCTAATCAACACTGCCAGGGTTCAAGCCCAGCGCTATACTTATGCTTATCAAGAGCCGATGCCGGTGGAACAGCTCGTTCAGTCTCTGTGTGATACCAAGCAAGGCTACACGCAGTTCGGCGGGCTCCGTCCTTTCGGAGTCTCGTTCTTGTTTGCCGGCTGGGACAAGAATTTTGGGTTTCAGCTTTATACGAGTGATCCGAGTGGGAATTATGGAGGTTGGAAGGCTGCGGCCATCGGGGCGAACAACCAGGCTGCCCAGTCGATGCTGAAGCAGGATTATAAGGATGACATGACGAGGGACGACGCAGTGCAGCTTGCATTGAAAGTTTTAAGTAAGACTATGGACAGTACCAGTCTTACCTCTGATAAGCTCGAGCTCGCCGAGGTGTTTCTTTCACCATCAGGAAAGGTCAAGTACGAGGTTTGCTCACCGGAGGCGCTCGGTAAGTTGTTGGTGAAGTCTGGAGTTACCCAACCTGCTACTGAAGCTTCTTGAGTTTCTTGCCTTCTCTTGCTGTACCTAGAGACATATTTCAACTATCTTCATATTTTTAGTTATGGTTCTTAACTGAAGATACGCTTTGAAAACTGTCATTTGACGATCCTTCTTAGAAATGCGACTTTTTGAGTATGGCTGTTAACTTTCTAATATGTGTTTCAACATGCTTAGGAGCATTTTCAAGATTAAATTGTATAATTAAACAATTTTCTATCTTGGAGTTCTTTCTCCAACTTTTTTTTGTGCTGGCTATTCTTTTCTGTTGTTCTTCTTTGCAGGGCAATATTGGTTGGTTAATTTTACCCAAAACAATCTCAATTAGTCATCTTAGTTCTTTTGTGTCAGGATTGTAGGTTCATAGTATTTACGTATTTTATTGCAAAGTGATTTCATGCAGCATTAGAGGGCATTTTTTCTTTTGTTGAAATGGTCTGGTAGTGTTGCTAACATGTGCAAGACATTGCAATGATCTGATAGTTGTTGCTTGTGACCATAAAAGTGTAAGAGTTTTGGGTGAGAGCTTATTTACTGAAGGACTTATGACAAGACATTTTGTTTCAACAAGATCATAGCGTCTTTTTGACCTTCTGTATTTTTCCAAGTGAAATTGCTATTTGATATTTAAAGGATTAACACCTAGGCCGCACCATGGTTTCTGATGTCATTGCAATAGTCTGATAATGGTTGCTTGTGATCTTCCTAACCATCCTATTTTAAAGATGCTTGAAAATATCTGAAATTGCTGAAACTACTAAGCAACATGAATGCAACTGGAGGGACTATCAGGTTGTGATGACATTTTCTGGACCAATTGTGTATACTGGCAGTGAAGTGTGAAAATACACAAAGAGATTAGAGCACTCTTTCCTTSGAAAATAAAAGGCTGTGATTCCCCTATCCTAGCCTAATCTTTTTTATTGACTAGTCAGTGTGTAGGCACTAACTTGTCATCACATTTCACATCCACTAGAGAGGCCATAATGACTAGTCATTGTTTCACTGCATTGATAGCACTGAGTAGAACTGTAATAYTTGTAGCCCTTTTGAGTCCTAAAATACCCAAGGAAAACACCATTACCTGTGTGTCTAGTCCACACCCCAGGTTCAAGGCATTTCACAAAACATAGACAACCAAAGATACAAGGTGGAAGAGGAAAAGGAGACAAAGAAGGAAATAGAAGAGAGAATGGAGGAAGAAAAGAACCAGAAGATTGCCCACTCCTTGGTGTTTTGATACCACGATGTGGTTTAGAGTTAAAGCAATAATAAAGCAGAGAAGAGGAGAAGTGAATCTTTTTTAGTGGATTCGAAAACATAACCCAACCTAGTAGGTGGCTGGTTTTGTACTCTTCTAAAATGTTGAAGTTGAACCCTTGCTTTATAAAATGGGACAGACAGGGGTAGCCTTCTTTAGATAAGTATAAAGATAGAAATGCCCCCATGCCTATTACATTAATAAATTTTACTCTTTACTATTTCAGCCTGTTAGTGGTGTTAGTGAAGGGGTATTTCAGTCTTTGTACTTGTTGAGAATGCTGATGTGTACTGTTATGTTAGTTCGAGTGCCTCTTACTTAAAGAAGGGCACTCAAGTCTTTTTCAATAAGTCAATAATATAATAATAGGTCTGGCCGAAT